AAGCCCAGACTCAGGAATGGCTCACCTCAAAACAAGCTAGTATGAGCATTAACTGACCTCCAGCATATGACAGTAGTTAATAGGCTCAGCTTTGTTTTGTTTAGGAAGATTCCTCCTCTGTTATGTGTCTTAGCTAGAACTGCAGTCCAAGGCTTGAAACCGAGTGACTAGATTCTTTGAGTTGTGGTACAATAATATGCATCTTCCCTCGTAGCTCAATCGGTCAAGTATCCACCTGAAACGCAGATTCCTGGGTTGGGAAGATTCCCTGGAGTAGGAAATGACAACCCACTCTAATATTCTTGCCTGGAGATTCCCACAGATAGAGGAGGCTAACAGGCTACAGTCCATGGGGTCACAAGAGTTGGACACAACTTAGCATCTAAATCAACACCAATGTGAAATTCAGGGCTTTGAAGTTTTTAGTGTTGGGGATTGTTAGATAGAATTTGGGGCAGCTGACATAGTGCTATTAATATCTCCCTTGATCTTGTCTGAAGTTGCAGGCAGAACCAAGGGGGAAGCCTTAAAGGGGCCAACCTTGGGTCTGTTTGGAAGGTCCACAGACTCCCTGAAGCCTCTTGTCTCCCTCTACTCAATTGATTCAGGAGGCTCTGAGCTTTCTGTTTTATAGTTAACTGGGAGTAAGCAGTCTGTTTCTGGTATGCCTGTCAGGGGGCCAAGCATCATGGGAAGTAAGGTATGGCCACTTACTGACACTGTCTCCTCCCCATTGTACTTTTCCCATCTTTCTTCTATGCCTCTGTCATCTTATACTTCTATAGACCTTAAACTGAATGTTCCAAGTATTTTGCCTTGACAACTTCACTCTTTTCCAGGCCATGCTCTGCAGACCCTTCCACTGCCAAAATTTCACCTCCAAGGAGATGACTCACTCAACTGCATTCCTACCTGCAAGGGTATCCCAGATTCCCACTTCACACCACCTACATGCAGTGCTGGGCTGTGCTGGTAAGGGTGGAGAATCTCTTAGTTTTAGTTTTTGCCACTTTCACCTCCAGCTCCACATCTCCAAAGATAAGGCTCTCTCCACAAACACTCTCTTCCAACTTACCTTCCAGTCTGTCAATGGTCCCCATCAGAAGGAACAAGCACTTCCCAGGTTTCAGTTTCATTTTGGAAGTTTCCACAAGTGAAACCCATGTGGCCTCTCTGCAACCCTTCATTCCCGTTTCCAAGACAAGACTTGGCTGATTGGTGAGACAGAGAAACTCTTCAACTCAGTTCCTACTGTGCCAGGAGCTGGCAAACTCCAACCCATGAACCAAATCCAGCCCACCACCTGCCTCTGAGCTTTAGTTTTATGGGAACACGGCCATACTGGTTCCTTCACCTACGGTCTGTGGCTCTCTCACACCTCAAAAGCAAAGGCAAAAAAAAAAAAAAGCAGAGGCAAAGAGTAATGACAGACCAACCACACAGCCTGCAAAATATCAGCTAGTCTGGCCAGATCAACCCTCCAGGAACACCACTGTTATCCAGCTGCTTAAGGATTTGTAATGGCCACCTACAGACTGCTAAATAAAGCCTATTTCTGTGTAAACAAGGAAGGGAGGATGGGGGGGGGGGGGTTGAGACTTTGTTGCTATTTCTTAGAACTTGAAATTCTTATTGAGAACAGGGATACACTTAAGAATAGGATGTTTTTAGTCTTGACCTTTTCTGGGTGGGGGCCAACTTGGGGCAATGAATACATTGTTAAATCCTCTCTGCCAGTGGCCTTGAAACATATATTACCACGTGTAAAATAGCCAGTGGAAATTTGCTATATGAGGCAGGTGCTCAACCCCATGCTCTGTGACAACCTAAAAGGGTGGGATGTTGTGGGAGGGAGGTTTAAGAGGTAGGGGACATGTGTATACCTATGGCTGATTCATGTTGATGTACAGCAGAAACCCACACACATCACAAAGCACTTATCTTCTAATGAAAAGTTTTTTAAATCCTCTCTGCCAAGGATGTTCTAACATAGCTGTGTGGAAAAGAGGTGAGAGAGAAAATACAAGGCTGCTTTCTGCTGTAGTTTGGTAAATTCAATGGAAGTAACTTCCTGAGTGAACCAGTTTCTGAATCTTGAGGGGAGGGGGCACATGTGAAAGAGACAGTCACAGAAGTTCTAAGAGCCTTAACTCCCATTTCACTGGGCCCAGCTGGCAAGGATCAGAAAGGCAGTTCCATGCAGATGCAGAGGTAGGACTGGGACTCTCCACTGAGTTCGTTAATGAAAGAAGAGCAGTACTCCTGGATGACCACAGGCTGGACTGTTAACCCTCCAGGTAAACAGAGCTATAGAGTCTTCCCTGGTGGTCCAGTGGTTGAAACTCCATGCTTCCAGTGCATGGGATGCTGGTTTGGTCCCTGGTCAGGGAGCTAGGATACCACATGCCACATGGTGGGGAAAAACAAAACCAGAGCAACAAATTGTGGTGTGGTAATGGCTTTGCCCAACCACCAAAGGAAAGCACAAGCCTCTCTCTCCAAGTCTACAATAAAGAAGTTCTTGTGAAGGCTGAGGATCAAAACGGCCTCCAAGAACCCAATATGTACTCCGGGTTAGGAGGTACAGCACCTGGTGGAGGATAAGAAAAAATTTTATATGTAAAAAATTCTATATATAATATAGACAAAGAAAACTGCTCTTTCCATTGCTTCTTTCTCTGAAAAATAAGTCTTCCTCTTCAAGCATCTAACAAGAAGGACTTTTTATCACTTGTAAAGCCTAACAGGATCATGGTTGAGCCCAAGGTAAAGAAACCTAACAATGACAAATAATGCCAGATCTGCTCTAAACTTAAGGAGAGAGGTCCCTACTTTCTTTGGTCTTGCTTTTCTGTGCTGATTTCAGAAGAGCAGGGATGACATTGAGGGTCAAAAACCAAGGTTTGGCCCTAGAGGGAAAAAATTCAGAGAGGCTACTCGGTCTGCTTCTGGCCTAGGTGATAGGCACCAAGGACAAAGGTAGTCCCTTCAAATAGTGAGTTGACCAGAAAGTCCATTTGGGCTTTTCTGTATCAGCTTACAAACCCGAAGGAACTTTTTGGCCAACACAAGGTCTGGCTTAACAAAGCAAGGGTAGGAGCTTACCAAGGGGTTACAAGAGGCTTGCCCAAAGTAGTACAGCCCAAACGGAGCAAGTATAGCTTTATGAGGAAGGTAACATTCTCAGGACCCAGGCTCTCCAGGTTCATCTTCCAGACCTGCTTCTTACTAGCTTTGTGACCTTGGGCAAGCTTCTTAGCATGCCTGAACCTGTTTCCTCAGCTAAAGTGGGGAGACTAACACTTCCAAGTTTCATAAGGTTGTTTTGAGGATTAAACAAAGTAATTCTCATAAATGTTGTAGAACCATGCACTCAACAGATGTTACCTATTATTACAAAACAATATGCCTTCTCTGCTAGAGATATGCCTTGGCAGATATAGCAGGAAGAGCTGTGGCCACAGGCTGTGGGAGCTTCTACTCCTAGTTACAGAGACTTGAAAACCACTGTGCTAGCCAAGTGCATCTCATTATTGCTCCCTTCTCACCTTCTTTTCAATCCACTTCTTGCTGTTTTAGTACCCCCTGCCAAAAATGCCTTCCCCCTCCTTTATCTTCACCTATTCAAACCTAGCACAGTTCCACCTCCTAAAATACTGGTGTACTTACAATCAATACTAGGCAATTTAACACTTAATTGTCCTTTAGTCCTTTCACGATGCCTATGTTCATCACTCCTAAGAATTAAGGCATTAAATGTCACTGTTAAGATGAAAATGTCATCTTGCTCATAGTAGATGCTCAATAAATTGCAAGCACTCTGGAAAAAAACTCAGAATGAATACGAACATTTCTCCACAGTAGGTCATTATCAGTCATTAGTAAGATACACTGGGTCTTACAACTTGGTAATTCGGACAGCATGGGCTCCAGTGCCAGACAACCTAGATTAAAATAACAGCTACACTGATGGCTAGCTGTGGGATCTTAGACAAGTCACTTAACCTCTCTGGGCCTTGATTTATTCATCTGAGTAATGGCTACCATAAGAACAATCAACCTCACAGGGTTGTTGGATGGATTTCATAAATTGGTATAAAGCAAGAGCTGACTCATTGAAAAGGACCCTGATGCTGGGAAAGATTGAAGGCAGAAGGAGAAGAGAACGACAGAGGATGAGATGGTTGGCATCACCAACTCAATGGCCATGAGCTTGAGCAAACTTTGGCAGACAGTGAAGGACAGGGAAACCTGGCATGCTTCAGTCTATGGGGTCACAAAGTGTCGGACACGACTTAGTGACTGAACAGCAACAACAAAATTAGCAGAATCCCTCTAAGGATTGGATTCCATTGTGTTTGTCGTTAATGCTACTGTAAATTGCTTTATCAGAGTAAATGAACAGAACCTCCTAGAAATGAAACACAAAGCCTATTCTGATAGAAAGGACCACTAAAAAAGAGTCAAAGTAGTCTTCGGGGTGGGCTTGGCAGCGCAAGCCGGTCTGCGCGCAGGGCTAGGCGGTTAGCGGCGGCAGCGGCCCTAGGGAGGCCGCGGCGCCATGGCTGGGCGGTAGACGGGCTTGGGCTGGCGAGGCAAGGGGAAGCGGTGTTGATCCGGTCCGCGGCGACCTTCGGCAGGGCCCGGGGGTGGGGCGGCCCGGGGAGGGGGTCGTCTCGGGCAGCGCGGGGCCACGGGGCGGGGCTCGTAGGCCGTCGGGGTGCAGGAGGCCTTGGCCGCCGCGAGGAGCCGCCGCCGCTGGTCGCTGGGCCCCGCCGCCGGGCCGCTCGACGACGACGCTCCCGCGGGGGCCCCGCCTAAGGAAGACGTGGCCGCGGCGGCTGCGAGGCCGCGGAAGGACGCGGAGGATGGAGGAGCGGAAGGAGGAGGGCGAGGCCGAGATCCAGGAGCACGGCCGCTCGACGACGACGCTCCCGCGGGGGCCCCGCCTAAGGAGGACGCGGCCGCGGCGGCTGCGAGGCCGCGGAAGGCCGCGGAGGATGGAGGAGCGGAAGGAGGAGGGCGAGGCCGAGATCCAGGAGCACGGGCCCGAGCACTGGTTCTCCAAGTGGGAGCGGCAGTGCCTGGCCGAGGCCGAGCAGGACGAGCAGCTGCCCCCGGAGCTGCAGGAGGAGGCGGCGGCTGCCGCGCAGCCGGAGCGCAAGCAACAGAAGCTGTGGCACCTCTTCCAGAGCTCGGCCACCGCCGTGGCCCAGCTCTACAAAGACCGGGTGTGTCAGCAGCCAGGACTTTCTCTGTGGGTTCCCTTCCAAAACGCAGCTACCGCCGTCACGAACCTCTACGAAGAAAGCGTGGATACTCATCAGCGAAGTTTTGATATTGGAATTCACATTGGCTGTCAGCGACGCAATAAGGATGTGTTGGCTTGGGTTAAAAAGCGCAGAAGAACTATTCGTAGAGATTTGATCAGCTTCCTGTGTGGAAAGGTTCCTCCACCACGAAACTCTAGAGCTCCCCCAAGACTGACTGTAGTGTCCCCTAACCGAGCTACTTCAACGGAAACTAGCTCATCTGTAGAGACTGATTTGCAACCCTTCCTGGAAGCCATAGCTCTGCATGGTCTTAGTGGTGCAATGGCCAGTATAAGCGTGCGTTCGAGTACCCCAGGCTCTCCTACACATGTAAGCAGCGGATCGAATGCTAGTCGAGGGAGAAATGGACTCCATGATGTCGATTTGAACACTTTCATATCAGAAGAAATGGCACTCCACTTGGACAATGGTGGAACTAGAAAGCGTACCTCAGCCCAGTGTGGGGATGTCATTACAGACTCACCAACCCATAAACGCAACAGAATGATCTAAACTGCAGACATTTTCCACACCCACCATGCTGCTTGAAAGCCACTTGATCCTCAACATATTACTATTATTGCAAAGGAAACATATGAGGCCATCTTCCATTGTTCACTGTTTAAGACAAGTGAATCCTATAGTGGTTGCCATAAAAAGAAAGTTCTAGGTATTTATAGTAGATGCCTCTTGTAATTATGGCTTTCTTAAAACTATAACTCTAGCAGAGGACATCAGATACCATGTCGTAGGGTCCTCGTAGGCAAACATATATCCGTTTCAAGGCTAAAAGTGACCTTAACTGTATTTATTCTCAAAGGGAAAGGAAATATCAGATGTTTATTTGGTTACAGAATGGTTTTTTGGGGGTGGGGGGGGAGGGTCCGTTTCCTGCTGTGTTGAGTATTTTGCTTCAACAGTATTGCCAGGTTCCTAAAATTGTCTAAAACACACGATTTGGCTTCCTCGTCAGATCTCCAGGCTTCCATTTTTGCAGCAGCACTGTACCACGCACCTGGTTTCTCTCTAATAACAGCGTGCAACTTTGAATTATTATTGAACTGTGTCCTATTTTTTAGTTTTTGAAGCAGTCTATAATTCTGGTGATTGTGTGATGTAAAGAGGTGCTATGATGGTCATGCAATTAATACTTAATACTGAATCAATACACAGAACCTTATTGGATTCACTTTGTGTGTGTTAGTGCTCTAAAAGTAGCAATATTAAATTGCCCCACTCCCCCAATTAACCCTATAGGCTTAAAATAATTCATTTTTAAGACAAGTACTACTTCCCAAGCAGGGTACTATCCTTATGGTAAATGTAAACATGTTGACTGCATTCATGGTGACCTGAAGTAGAGAGGTCACGAACTCTTGAGAACAGGCTTCCTTTTTGGTTCAGTATTAGTGAGAGGGAGATGGGTGGTGGGAGAGGCTCAGCATTGTAGTCTTTCATATTTACGTTTTTCATGAATGTTCTGCTTTGTGCAGTTTCCGTTGGAATGGGTGAAAGAGAAAGGTCTTTTGTCTGCTAATAATGTGATCCCAATTTAAATAGCAGAACCCAACTCTCCAAATCCCTCTCCTAGAAAGTGCAGTTTGGAATCTCATTCTGGGAAAAGATGGAATCGCATGGAAGTCCTCTAGATGTTAGGTTAGACCTAAATAAAAGTTCTCAATAGATTCCTCTTTTGAGTAAATATAAGACCTCTTGTAGCTACAAAGTTTTAGAGCATGTTTCATCTTCATTTTTAATATCTTGAACTGAATGGTAGTCTTTTTATAGATGAAGAACTGATGTCAGCCTGCCAGGTACTGTAATTTATTCTATCATACTATTATATATATATATATATATACATATATATATATATATATATATATATCTCAAGTAGGACAGTGAAAATGTTTCCTTGCAAACTTACAGTTCAGTATCAGTACTTCCTGTTTTTTATCCTTTAAAGACTATTGCAAATCAGTGTAAGGGTTTTCCCAGTAATTACTCACAGCACTTTGTTAACGTTTGCAATTTTCTCCAGCCATTTAATAATCTTTGAAGAAATTTTGCTAAGTTCACCATAATATTCGTTGATGGGTGGGATGTGAATGGAAATGTGTGAACTGGAGTTCTGTATTCACTATAGATACAGCCCTTATTTAAAGAAAGTCAATTCCATGCTAAACCTAGGAATGAAAGTGAGGCGTTTCCAAATTTTTGCAAAAGTGGATTTTTTTTTTTAATATGATGGGAAGAATTGTAACAGTTTATTATTATACTGGAAATGGGCAAGCCTATGTATTCTCAATACTTTACACTTCCCTTTGGAATATACCAAGAAATGCATTTGGAGTTATCTTTGTTTTTCTATCTTTGTAAATTTAGATTCTGGAATTGGGTTTGACGGTGTGAAGCGTTGCTCACAAGAGGTCAGAACTCCTTCCTAAAGGTTTTTGAGGCTGAGGAACACATATTTAATCTCCCCTTTATGCCTTGGTTGTAGTTCCTCTCTCCAGGTTAGTGACAAAAAATTTTTTTGGTGGTTTTTGTTTTAGTTGGTGCTCTGAATCTCAGTACCCTTTACTCTGGATTGTCAAATTTTGATAAAATATGTGCCATTTTCTTTGGTAAGAGAAAGCAGGTCTTCACGTCTGCCAGAACACAATTTATATATTGGCTCCATTAAACTTTTGAAAAACTTTAAAAAAAAAAAAAAGAGTCAAAGTGTAGGGTCAGGCATGGAAAGAGGGCCAGCCCTCAGGGAGGGGCCCTGGGGGTCTATGACAGGCCACACTATGAAAGAGGGCTCCTAAGTGTGGCGCACACCACACAGACTTCTCCAGCTGCCCATGTTTGCCTCAGGCTGGTTTTCATGGTGACTGGAGTATTCTAGCCTGGCCCAAGTTGTGCTCAAAGAATGAAAAGAACTAACACTGCACTTTTGAAAGACTCCCATTTGGTTTATTAAGTAATTAACTTCCTGATGCACAGAGGACAAAACACTGAGGGGACCTCTGAAGTCAATTAAAGCCCAAATGGCTGGATTGCTGCAAAGAATGCATTTACAGGGAAAAGCCTCCCCTTTCTGAGGCTACCTCCCACCAACCTACTAATTAGAGTGGGAAGAAAAAAAGTGGATGGTGAAGAAGCAAGGAAATGCCAACCTGAAAGGGGGGGTGTGGAGATCTGGGAGCCAAAAGGAAATGAGGAAAAGCTCAGACTGTCCCCCAGTGAGTGCTAAGCAGAAACAAGGCAAGTACAAAGCACCATATCCAGCCTCTGCTGGACTGGGAGCACTAATCCTCTACAGAGGCCCAGAGCCAACTTGTAATAATCAATAATGTGGATGATCCACAGTGACTTTGGAATCCTAGGTTGGCCTCCCCTGAGTCTCAGAATATTCCCAAGATCCCCAGATCATGCTAATGTGAAGATGAATCAAGCCTAGCACAGAAGATAAAGCCCCCAAAAGAGCAGGTGGGGCTTGTTAATAAGTCAGAATTGTATTTCCTTTCCACAGTACTCAAAATTGTATTTTAGATACACATTGTTCTTCCCTACCAAGCGGAAAGGTCAAACGGTGAAACTATCCCTGACACATTTCTCTATTCCCTACTAGCGTCTAGCACAGTGCCTGTGCAAAGTGTTCAGTAGATAAACATATTTCAGTTCAACAAACACCTCAAAAATGGCTAAGGATGGGAGAGGAACAGAACTAGGAAAACAGTTTCTGGTCATCTGAAGTGTTCCTTCTCTTTGTGGATTTTTCTGCTCAATTACCTTGATTAAAGAGCGTGGGTACAGCAAGAACTATTTAGAAAGATGTGGGACAAATTATACAAGAAATACAATGCATCAATATCCATCCAGATTGCCTTATGTTTTACTATGGCCAACAATGGCTTAAATTCCTAAAAATTGTTCTCTAAAAAAAGAAAGGCATAAAATTAATTATTTTTGATCATAAGTTTCAGGTTTAGGTGCTATATAACTTGAGGCAGTGTTGTATAATAGAAAGAGCACAGACTTTGAAGTGTATGATCTTGAACAAATTAACCCCTGAGCTTCTGTTTCCTACCTGTAAAACAGCAGGTTATTAACAGTTCACACACCTCATAAGATGTTGAGGTTTAATCCAGTTTAACACTTCCAATACTCCTAGAAAATGCCTGACAGCAGAAAGCACTTAATAAATTTTAGGAACTATTTGTATAAGAATTAAGTGAAGTTAAATGAGATGAAGCATGTAGAACTAGGGTCACAGCTTGTATCTAACTAGGACTCAAACATGTTTGGGTACATCTGGTACAATCTGTAAACAACCCAAAAGAAAGCTATTTCTGGTACAATCTGTAAACAACCCAAAAGAAAGCTATTTCTGCCTAAGGTGAAGAAGTGCCTGGAGAAGAGTTGCAGTACAGGAAAGAATAAGACACACGGACCTTGATCGGGAGATAGAGCAGGAGGGGGTAAAATAGCTTAGTCATCAGGGATCCTGAGTATAGTGTGATGTCTGCCACCTGGATCTGTTTCCTAGCCCAATCCCACGTCTTATGTCTGAAGAAGGAAGAATGAAATAAGGACGTTAAAGAGTGTTACTCAAAGCTGTAAGGGAAGGAAAAGTGTCAAGCTAAGTAACTTTGGAGGTGAGTGGAGACTGGACTACTAAAAACAATAGGAACTGTACCTAACCACCATACTCTGAGAAAGTTGTTTCCCACAGGGCTGAAGGTTAATAATTCTGAAGCCACTCTACATGTATACTCGAATTGAACAATTAAGTACATGGATGACAGCTGATGAGAGCTAGGTTTTTTGCTGTTGAATAGGAGGTTATAGACAATTAAGGGAAGAGGCTAGAATGATGCATATGGTAATAGAGTTGAAGACATCAATTTAAACTCATGTTTAGCTTCATATAGATTATGGTCACATACAGAAGTATTTATAGATATATGTATATCTGTACCAAGTTATGTTTATACACATATCTCCTTACTCTGTCAGCTAAGAGGGCCTAGAAGTGATGGCACCTCAATAGCAACAAACAAGATCTAGGGCCCAGATCTTGGTTTCCAAAACCATTCTCCAAGAAAAAGAACCAGGGCTCCTTGGAGATATGACCGATTCTAGGAATGGGACAAGAAATTAAGGAATTACCAGAAATTAACATGAAAAAAAAACATTACCAGAAAAAAACATGACAGACTGATGACAGTATATCAAAAGGGACAAAAAGATACAAGAGTCAAATGAAAGTGTTTCCAATGGCCAAAGTGAGAACCATTTCAGCAAGAAGTTTATAAAGAATAGACTACTCATTTAATTATGGTAGTTATGTTCTATAACATCTCCACAAGCACAAAATTGGTGAATACTGAACCACTGCTCCTAGGGTAAATATAGGACTATTTTCCTGAAAGTCTCTGATCACAATGTTCTCTTTAACCAATAATCACATAAGCTTGTTTTATGTGGGTTTCTATTTACAGACAACATATTTATATATATTGAGTCATTAACATTAAACTCATGGCCTGTAGTTCACATCAGAACAAAGCTTATCTAACACATGTATGTTCTCTCCATCACAGCCTTCTTGTACACAGGAACACACTAGGGAGTACTTCAGCACTAAGCTTGGAATGCATTTCAAACTTTGAAATTACCAACAAAAAAACCCCCACAAAAATAGGGAAAGTGTGACACTAAATAGACCATGAAAAGGCTACTTGTTTACTTATAAAATAAGAAGGCAGAGAGCATCACCTTGTTCAACCTCAGCTGGAACATGCATGTCAGGCTACTCAAGTTTTTTTATTTTCCTGCATGTCTGCAAATGAACATGACTGTGCCACCAGTATTGATTTTGGAGTTAAACATAAATTTTAGCACGTAGGCGAATTCAAAAATACAGAACCCATGAATATTGAGGACTATACTAGGTTATAACCCAAAGTTGAAAATAAATATCCATGAGTCCACACTGATATTAATATAAATGATTAGATAATCAAATGAGTGAGGAGAGTAAGTCTCATGTGGAGAAGATTTCAAACAATTTATGCTGATACTCTACCCTCAAGACACTCCCCACTCCTTAAACACTGGCTGTGTATTGTGACTTCATTCCAAAGGGTACCATATAGAAAGGTGTTTTAAAAAAGAGGAACTTTATAGTGGAGACCCCTGAAAAACACTGTCTCAACCAAGTGATCAAGTTCAACATCAACTGTGATAAGTCACATTGACAGCAGGAACACTTGATATGAGAAGGGCACTCTACCTCTGTGGTCTTCGCTCTCAAAACTACAAACCCAAGTTGAAACATGAAACATGAAAAACATTAGACAAATCTCGCTTGAGGGATATTACACAAAAAACCTGACCAGCAGTACTCTTCTGAACTGTCAAGGTCATCAAAAACAAAGTCTTAGAAGAAACTGTCACAGCCAAGAAGAGTCCAAAGAGACATAACTATTAAATGCAATGTGGTATCCTGGGTGGAACCCTTTAACAGGAAAGGAACATTCAGAAAAACAGGAAATCTGAATAAAGCATGTGCTTTAGTTAATAATGATGCATTAATATTGATTCATTAATTGTGACAAGGGTACCACAATAATATAAAATATTAATAGGAGAAACTCCCTGTACTACCATCTCAAATTTTCTGTAACTCTAAA